ACAGCCGCGAGCGGCGCCGGCCCCGCGGCAGACACGCACGCAGCCCGCTCCTCATTGTAACTGTTTATTGTATAATATAAAACTACAAAAGTAAGACTGCTCGTTTCCATGTACATTTGTCCAATTGGTTCTGATTACAGCCCATACCTACATGTGAATACAGCAATCTGGTTTCAGATGTATATGTCTGTAATATTGCATAGAAAAGGCACAGCTCTAAGGTCTGTGGGAGGGGGCAGGGAAGGGGAAATACAGCCTTGTTATTTTCTTTATTTTCCTTTTTTTCTCCTTTTTTTCCCGACAGTAGCAGGCGCCGCTCGCACGGCCGTGCGCGGCCCCCGTGGGCGCTAGCGAGGGCGCCCGGCGGTTCGTCTGCGCTCTGGGTTTTTAACCAGGCTTATTTCCAGGAAAAGAAAAAGTGCTTAAAAATGGACTAATTTCGTTAAAAATGTTCCATCTCGGTAATTCATAGGAGCACTGAAAGCAACTCGCACAGAAGCAGGATGCTGAAACCTGATGGGTTTAAAAAAACAACAAAAAAAACGACCCCTGTAACAACAACAGCGAGGACAAAAAGTTCACGAGATGCCGGAGTGGGTGAAACCGTCTGTCAGGCAGGACCCGTTGCGATTTGCTCCACTTCACTGCGATAGAAGTGTAAACTTTGGCTTCCTGACGTCGTTCCGAGGCGATTCAGGCTCTTAATGCGCAGCGTGGAGGAGAAACCCGGTTGCCTCTTCGCGAGGCCCCGTTTCAGCGCGACGGCTCTGGCGGGCGGCGAGGGCCCCGCTGCTGCTCCCGGTGCCTTCCTGGGGGCGAGGAACGCGCGGATCCCGGGCTGAGGAAAGGGGGACCGTGTCCCGCCCGGAACGCGGCCTCCGCTCTGGATGTGGCGCCCCTGCCCGTCCGTCCCACACAGATTTACATTCCTACGCGAGAATACATTCCTACCATACATTCTGTACATGTTACAATCCGGATGTTGTTAGCTTCACAATAAAATAAATATATTTACAGAAGGAAAAAAAAAAGAATAAATAATTTATGAAAAACAAAACAAAAAAAGAAACAGATCACTTCAAATCCAAAGCTCTCGTGTTCTGCTCCCGTCTTGTCACTTCATTGCACGTCAGTGTCGCCCCGCGGCGCCCGGGGCCGGGCGCCTTCTCAAGCGCGCCAGGAAAACAGCGTTTGGGTGAACTTTTGCCTAACACGGGGTATCCGTTCAAATCCTTGGAAGCAGCCAGCACGAAGCAATAATTTAGGTTTTACTCTGCATGAGGGCACCGCAAGTCTTTGCTTCGTTGAGCTGGGCTTGGGAAAGCAGAAAGGAAGGTGCCCCCCGCGCCCCACAACCCACCCGGTTCTCCCCAAAACTCACATCTCCCCCTGGCCAGGAGCCAGAGCGTCTCATAATCGTACGGGACACCAGGTTAGGGATTCCTTCATTGCAAAAATCGCGCTTTTATTTTGTGTCTGTGTGCATATCTATGTTACATCTAGCTAGCTACCTACTAATAAATACATATATGGCCTGCTTTAAAGTGCCAATTTAATTAAAAAAAAAAAAAAAAAAACTGCCTCTGTAAAAGGCAGCCAAGACCCAATTTCATCCATGACAAGAAAGGAGCAGAACTGGCTGAATATTGCCAAATGACGTAAAACATAATTTAAATTTTCTTAAATAAATATAAAAGTTACTCCTAAAGAAGCCATAGGCATGTCAAGAGTACAGGCTGTAACCGGCGCTCGACAGCTCAAGAAGTACCATTGGCGACCCAAAAATGCCGTAGCGCCCTCCGCGAGAGGCAGGGCACGTTGCAGCCGCGTCTCCAACTGGACGTACCCCACGGCGAAGCCAACGGAGCCGCTGCAGCGACGAGGAGCCCTCGGGGGCGCGTGCCGGGGACGGGCCGTGCGTAGGCGGCTGTGTCTGTATCTCCGCTGCAGGAGGGCTCTGTGAGGCAGTAACGCGGTGACACGAGACACCCGCCGGGCTGCGAGCGGCTCCGGTGTCACCGCGGCGCCCACGGGGACGCGCGGAGCGGGCGCCCCGGAGCAGCGCCCGGCCCTTCCTTAAAGCACTTTTTATCTCCGTTTGCATTCAGGGAAACCAACTGCAGGCTTATTTGATCCGATTTTTTTTTTCTCTTTGCACCATACACATATAAAACGTTACAACTCTGTATAAAAGTACAAGTGGTTCTTGTACGTCTGAATTATGCAGGAACTATGTGAGCAAATCCTATCAAAATAGCTATTTTTTTGAGTGTGTATAAACAGCATTTGTTTTTAGAAAAAACAATATCGTAAACTGCAGAATCTGTACAAAAATATAAAATAAATTTGGGCAGCAGTTTCTAAACAGCCATGTAAATGCGACACTTAAAGAGGAGCAGGTTAATGCCTCCAAAAGGCTGAATTGCTAAGTCAACCTATACAGGGCTAAAATGGTTTTGAGATTATCTAAATAATAAGTCTTTTTTTTTTGTTACCTCTTGCAATAAAACTTATAGAAAAAATAGACAAATATGCACATGCAATTTACAGCTTTCCCCAACATAATCCTTGTGCTTAGCTTTTACAATTTTTTTTGTTTTTTTTTGTTTTTGTCATAATAACATAACATTGTCTACAATACATATTCTTTCCTATACTGGGGTTATTCGGTCTTCCTTGAGGAACCACTTTTAAAAAAACATACATTAGAAGTGGTCGTAGGTGGATGAAGGCACTCGAACTCTGCTCGAAGCAAAAACTAGTGTGATCCTTTTCTTTGCAAAAAAAGGCAGGCGAGGACGCATGCACAGTGCTGTGAACCCGGGGCAGGATGGACTATGGAAAGACTCTACCAAGTGTATATAACCGGTACTGAAAATTAAAAACCAAAAAAAAAACCCCAAAAAAAAAAGAGCGTGAGAGCTGCTCTGCTTTAAGACCCGACGAGCACCTCCATGATGTGATCCAGTTCTGTGAGGTCCATTTTGAAAGGCTGATTTGGAGTTACTGGCTGGCTGCTGTACGGAGCGAGGGTTTTGAGGAGCTCGTCCGCGGAGACGGGGGCCATTTTGGAGGCGGCCCCCGCGGCGGACGTGCAGGGGTCGAAATCGTACATGGAGGTGTCAATGTCAGCGAACAGGATATCGTCCAGCGTCAAGTCCGTGAGGAAGCCCGTGGACGTGGTGATCTCGAAGGCGCCGGGCTCGGCGAGCTTCGCCTCGGCCGCGCGGCCCTCGGCGGGGCCCTCGGC